AGAAGAGAGAGCAGAGAAGAGAGAGAGAGAGAGAGAGACGAGAGAGAGAGAGAGAACGAAGGAGAGAGAGCGAGAGAGAGAAGAGAGCGAGGAGAGAGAGAGAGCAGGAGATGAGGAGAGAGAGAGAGAGAGAGAGAGAGAGAGAGAAGAGGAGAGAGAGAGAAGAGAAGAAAGAGAGGGCAGAGAGAGAGAGAGAAGAGGAGAGGGGGAGAGGGGGGAGAGGGACGAGAGAAGAGGGAGAAGAGAAAGAGAAGATGAAAGAGAGAGAGAGAGAAGAGAGAGAGATAAAGAGAGAGAGAGAGATAGAGAAGAGAGAGGAGAGAGAGAGAGAGGGGGAGAAGGAGAGATAGCGAAAAAAGAAATAGAAGATAGAGGAGGGGCGGGAGGAGAGATAGCTGAACTCCGTTCGACGAGCCGTTGTCAATGAGATTCAATACATATAAAAACGATTGCACGTGACTTGCCAAAGAAATCAAATGCCGTCAACTACGTCTGTGCGCGAAAGCCGCGCGCCATGCCGTCTGCGAGCTGCCGGTCGATCTAACTCGCAGGCATGAATGGCCTTCGTGGGGGGACAGCTTGGAGCAGGAGAGAAACGAGAGAAATCAGAGGAGACCGGGGGAGTAGAGAAAGCGAGGGAGGGGAAAAAGCGAGAGAAGCGAGAGAGAGAGAGAGAGAGAGAGAGAGAGAGCAGACGAGAGAGAGAGAGAGGCGAGAGAGAGAGAGAGAGCGTGAGAAAGAAAGAGAGAGAGCGAGAGAGAGAGAGAGAGTAGAGAGAGAAAGAGAGAAGGGGAGGAATGAAGCGGCAGAAGCAGAGAAAAGCCGAGAGAGGAGAGGAGGAGAGAGTGACGAAAAAAATAGTTTTCTGCCCGTGTCCCATACCCTATGTTCTTCGTGCTCTCTGCTCCCTGTTCCGGTGCCCTCTTCCCCTTGTCCCCGTACCCTATTGCTCCCTGTCCCCGTACCCTATGCTCTCCTGTTCCCTTACCCTATGCTCTCTCGTTCGCCCTCACTATGCTCCTGTTCCCGTACCCTATATCTCCTTGTTCCCGTCACCCTATGCTCCCTGTTCCCGTTACCCTATGCTCCCTGGCCCGTACCTTATGCTCCCGTTGCCGTACCCTATGCCTCCCTGGTTCCGCTACCCTATGTTCCCTTTCGCTACCACTATGTTCCCTGTTACGACTACCCTATGTTCCCTGTTACCGGTAAGTACACCGTACCCTATGTTCCCATGTCCCCGTACCCTATGTTCCGCTTGTTCCGTAGCCGCTATGCTCCCTGTTACCGTACCCTATGTCCCTGTCCCTGGTCCCCAGTACCTATGTTCCCTGTTCCCGTGCACTATGCCTCCCTGCTTCCCGTGCACTTAGGTGCTCCACTGTTCCCCCGTGCACTATGCTCCTGTTCCCGTACCCTATGCTCCCTGTCCACTGTCCCAGTAACCTATGCTCCCTGTTCCCTACCCTATGCTCCCTGTTCCGTGCACTATGCTCCTCGTTACCGTAACCCTCATGCTCCTCTCCTCGTACCCTATGCTCCCTGCTTACCGTAGTAACGGCGTACCCTATGTTCCACTGTCCCTGCCCCGTACCCTATGCTCCCTGTTCCCGTTACTGCCTATGCTCCTGTTCGCGTACCCTATGCTCGCCTTCCCCGTACCCTATGCCTCCCTGTTACCGATGCTAACCGTACCTCTTGTCTCCTGTCGCTGTCTCGCCGTTCGCGCCTATGACCTCCCTTGTTCGCGTGGCACTATGCTCCCTGTTCCCGTGCACTATGCTCCCTGTTCCCGTGCACTATGCTCCCTGTTCCCGTGCACTATGCTCCCTGTTCCCGTGCACTATGCTCCCTATTCCCAACGCTCTCTTCCCCTACCTTCTCCTCCGTCATCTATACCCTGCGCAGTGAACAGACACTCTTTCATCGTCGCTTACAACACGGGGACCCTGACAACGACACGTGCCTTGCGCGCTGATGATATCGCCTCTTTATTCGAGCGCAATTTCTAAAGAGACAGTCTCCGTCTCTCCCTCTCTCTCGCTCTCTTCAATTCTCTCTCGCACAGCGATACGCTCGCTGTGCACGGCGCACACCGACGGGTTTTTATTCACTCGCCCACTCGACCATCGCCGCCGCCGCCGCAGCTCCGCGCACACGCGTACGTAGCTCTCCATGCTTGTGGAGTGGATTTCCCATCCTCTTATTTCGCAGCCGTAAATGAGCGATATTGACGATGTCAATGCAGCTCGCCGGCCGCTGCCGCGGAAGCGCGCGGAAGGCCGCACCGCTGTGAATGCCCTGCTCGCTCTCTCCCGGCCACTATAGAAGCTTAGGAGATGATACTTCGAGCAAAGGGAAGTTGTGTGGATCCGGCAGGGAGGTTATTTGTTATATGATGTTTCAGGGGGAGTCGTAGGGTATGTATGAAGAGTACATAATAGAAGATACATAATAATCTCCTATTATGTACTCTCTGTATGTATGCTGCCTTCGCAGCAATCACTGTCAAGTTATAATTGGTGCCGCATTGCCCATGTTCGTACACGCAGTACAGTAAGGATATCGTCTTCTTCTTTACCATCGCAATGATACAGTCATACTACACACGCTAAATACACAGCTAAAGACGTATCGTTGTGGGAGATGCAAAAACACACGTGCAGTGATGTTGTGTGAGCACGCATTGACAGAAATCGACCGTGATGCCAGTATACGCGAGCATCAATGATCGAATTTGCAATTTTGCAGCCACGCAAATCTCTGAGATTTCATAGCGATTCTATAGATTTTATATTTTTTTCGCGAGGACGCGAATAAAACTGCAGGGGCGCGAGTCTCTGTGTGTAGTGGGAGTCGTTACGGCCTCTCACACAGAATATCAGCGAGTGGACGAGACCACCGCGACCACATCACGCACTTATACACACAAACGCCTATACACACACACAGTCACACACACACAGTCACACACACACGCACGCACGCACGCACGCACACACGCACGCACGCACGCACGCACGCACACACACACACACACACACACGTCTAATATTATGATAATTTAGCTATAAATGCTAATAGTAATACTAATAGCGTTTAAACTAAATT